AAGATGGCGACAGTGTGTTTACTCTCCTGAAATCCATCCTGGATATTTTGACTCAGTTTAAAAAGTTGATCTTCTGTGTAACTGCCTTTTCTGAAGCCTGCTTGGTGTGTGTTTAAGCTGTTAGTATTTTCCAGGTACCAGTAGAGGCGGTTGTTTATCATTCTTTCCACAAGCTTACCGATACATGATGTTAATGAGATGGGTCGGTAGCTTTTCGCTTCTCCAGGTGGTTTCCCATTTTTCAGGAGTGGTGTAATCTGGGCGATCCTCCATGCCTTTGGTATTCCACTCGTTCTTCACGTGGTGTTTATCAGGGAAAGAAGAATTTCTTTTCCTTTAGCACCAAGGTGGCACAGCATTTCGTTGTGTATTTTATCTGGTCCTGCAGCTTTCTTTTCCTTTAGCTTTTTGAGGGTCTGGCTGAGTTCCATCATGCTATAATCCTCTTCAAAAAGCGAGTTGATCACAATAGGAGCTTTTTCTTTATGCTTAGCCCTATTAATGAGAAGTCTATCAGCCTCGGTTAGTCTGCCTGCCCTGTTTACAGAGGCGAAAAAACGGTTAAAGTGTTCGGCTTTCTTCTGGTCTTCAGTGATGGTTCTGCCTGAAAGGAAAAAGGGTTTGGGTTGCTTCTTTGTCTATCTCCCGAGAGGTTGCTGACAAGGGACCAAGCCTTTGTTCCATTGTGGCGGAGGTCGAGATCTTTGCAGGTTGAGTCCATTTTTCTTTTTTGGCTTTTTTTACTGTCACTTTCACCTGAGCGCAGGTCTTGTTGTAGTGTATTTTGTTTATTGTTTATTGTGATTTTTCCAATGACTGTCTGGCTTTCTCTCTTTCTGCCACAGCAGTTTGGATTTCTTCACTCCAAAAGGGTTTGAAATTTCTTCAGCATCCCCGTGGAATGTGCTGAGATGCAGCTTTCAAATATTTTCGGTGACTTGTTCATTAAAAAGATCAGCATCTTCTGTTTCTGCTATGCTGGAGAGCAATTCGTCTGAGGTCTTTTCGTATTCTGCCCAGTTGGCTTTCTTAAAGTTCCATCGAGTTCTCCGAGGGTGGTTCAATGCAGGTGGGGAGGTGATCTGTATAAAGATAGGCCTGTGATCACTTCCTATGTCATCAATCACTTCGTTGCGACAGGAGTTTTTAATGTCGGATGAGCAGATGGTGAGATCAGGCCGGCTGAGAGTCAAGTGGGCTCTGTGAAGTAAGGTAGGAGTTTAGTTGACATCTTGTAATACAGATAGGTTGCTGGTTTCGCACAGCTCCTCAATCTTTCGGCCTGTGCCGTTATAGTTGACGTAGCCCCATTCTGGAGAGTGACCATTGAAGTCGCCCGCACAAATTGCTATTTCGTAGCTGGCTGCTTGCAGATCAGACAAGTGGCATGTTGTCTGTGGGGGGCTGTAAACATTGTAAAGTGTGTACTTCCTACCAATGTGCCATATGGTGGCCTTCTGGATATCTGTCGGTTGGGCAGATGATAAATGTACGACATCTCCCTGAACATCATTTCGCAGATAAGTGACTACACCGCGGCATCCTGTGCATGTGCAGGCGTAACTGGTGTATCCTGTGAGGTTCAGGTCCGTACCTTTGTGTAGGGTTTCATGAAGGAGGGCAACATGAATCTGCCTGTCCTTTAGTACTTTGAGGAGTTCTGTTTTCTTGTTCCTCAAACCACAGATGTTGAGTTGCAAGAGGTTGAGGGAACTCTTCTTCTGGTTGGGGATGTAGTTTGCTCCCTTCTCACGCCGAGAGCTTTCGGTGCTGGTTTAACGAGGTTTCTGTGTGTATCACCAGTAGCTGACTTGTCGCTCAGAGCAGCCTGGTGATTGCGCTGCCTGGCTGCCCACCCTCAGAAGAGGTAATTCATGTTGAGGATAGGAGGGTACTAGGAGTTTTCATGAGACTGGAAAGACTGTGGACTGTCTGCCCACCCTGAGAAGAGGTCATTCATGTTGAGGATAGGAGGGTACTAGGAGTTTTCATGAGACTGGCAACTCTTTCATGAGGTATTGGCCAAATGGAAAAGCCATTGGATCGTCACGTCCTGGGTCGTTGTGCCTTTACTAAGGTTTTCGACTCTTTCATGAGGTATTGGCCAAATGGAAAAGCCATTGGATCGTCACGTCCTGGGTCGTTGTGCCTTTACTAAGAGGTTTCACGGCCAGAAAGCAAGTCCGGCATTCTGCTCGGTCCATCCCCTGCCCCCAGACACTCTTAAACTGGCTGGTACCTTCTCAGCCACAGAGGGTGTGTTGATGAAAGTAGAGAGGTGTTAGGCAGAATAGACACCCACTCAAGGGAGAGTAAGGGTGTGTTAATGAGGAGCATAGCGTCTACCACGCATCGATGGGTTCTGCCTCCTGCACCTGGTGGGTCCACACCTGCTCCCATCCTGTTGTTTTAACCCCTCTAGGAAACGGGGGGGGGGGGGGGGGGGGTTTGTTGGCGCCAACAATTCGCCATTCGCCAGAGCCGTGTCAGTGAGGACAGGGACTACCACGGGCAGGTACGGTTGGCTGGATTGGGAGAAGCTGTTTGAGACGCTTAGGCATTTCTCAATATTTAAATGAGACCCATCACCAGTCCTTGATCCCCTAGTATTGATAACCTAGCGGTGTTAAGGGGGTGGTGGTGGGGGGGGGGGGGGTACACCCCCAAAGTTAAAGTTCGGCTCAAAATTATGGAATTTGAGTTGTAGGCATTTTTAGATTTCTCAGTCTCTCCTACAACTATTTCATCACATACGAACCCAAAAATTTTTTTCCCCCATACCCGGCATGTTTGTCACCGCCATTTCCACCTAACGTCAGTATTTTATTTTTCTTTAACGGCCGGTTTTTTTTTCAAAACGCGACTTTTCTCTATACTTTTTAAAATAACTCCACCATTTTTCTTTCACTCTTCATGAAATTTTCACACAATGAAGAGAAGACGTAATACTAAAAATGTGTCTGTTGAATTTTTGTTATATATGAAATAGATTTTTGTTGGTGGTGTCTGGAGTGTGGATTTTCAACGACTTTTTGCAAACTTGAATACTACCTCTGGAAAAATTCATTAAAAATTTTCTAATTCGTTTACGAAAAAAACAACACACAAAGTTTTGGATCTACTGTTTGTGAACACGCATACAAAACAACAATCAATTTCCATAAGCGATAATTGCGGTATTCATTACGTAAGACATGTCAACAAAATCCAACATGGCCGCCGTCTCCACGGAAAGGAAATTTGTTCTCAAATTTGATTGCGGATTTTAAAATTCCTTACTATGCTTGTTATATGTGTGAAATTTGGTACAATTCGGTCCTATAATAAGCGAGATAACCTTCAGGTGTAAACCCCCCCCCCCCCTTTAAACTCATACACTTACTTTTTAACTTTAAATTGCTTGGAAGGTCAGTCACCTTAAACAAGATCAGGCTTAATCTGCAAGCTCACTTTGTTTTCTTCCCAGGCCTTACACATAACTTCAAATTGAGAAAAAAAATCTCTTGCTTTGATATTTTTATGAAACGGTTTAGAGCACTTTGGTTTGATCAAGAGAAATATTATTTTCTGATACCCACTACGCTTAGCTGTTTGTTGAGAAGTTTCAATATAATTTGGTATACTTTATCTATTTCTCTGTAAATTATGTGATAGGGCTACGCATTCATATTCTATAAGCAAAACGTTTCGTTTTTTAATAAATCGCAAGCATAATGGTATTGAGTTTGAGTTTGAAAGAAAACAAATGAGAATATAATTGTGAGGCAGCGTGATGGAATCAGGCTCTCGTCAATTTTTGGGCGTATGGAGTTATTGGTATTGTCTTAAAGCTTGTTAATTTGTCTTGCTTTCAATGAAAAAAAATACCCATCCATCTTCAAAAGAAGTGGAGATATTTTGGATTGAAGGAGGTGGGGGTCACCTGGTTTAAGAGGTAAAATTAGCGAGAAAATGGCCGCCAAAGTTTGGTAAATTCCAAAGCTGGAGAGTCCATGAAAACTGTAAATTTATATTTTTGTGCCTTTAATCAACGTTTTCCGTGAAATCCTCAAAGGAATGTGTTTGTAAAAGAACATAAAAGGTTTTGATACAAAAAACAAAACTTTTATAAAAATTGCTTAGCGGGGAGAAAAGTGCTGTTTTTTTTCGATTTCATTATTTTAACGAGAGCCTGATTCCACCACGCTGCCTCACATATAATTAAACTACCTAGACATTTCAACTCGAGGATGTCATAACATTGTTCAATTGGTATGGGTGGACACCTGTGTTGTCATCTATCTTGAATTGTTCCTGATTTTGTAGAGTTGTAGTTTTTTGTTTTGTTCTTTTGGTTGTTGTTGTTTATTTTTATGATAGTGTTTTCAATCCATCAATAATTATTTGCTTTGGATGTGTTACAATATAATATTTCTTTGAGTTCAAAAGAATATTTCAATTTAATGTGAAAACTCACTACATTGTTACAATAAAACCATACCCTGTATTCTTCCAAACGACACAGAGTTCCAGATTTTTTTTCTTCAATCCGTATCATAAATGAGCAAAAGCTCAATCCAGTCTACCCTACGATTGGCAAAGCGTAAAATCTGAAAACTATTCTCAAGTTAAAATGCAATTATACCTTTCTCAGCCGGAACTTCTGCAATAGTATCTAACCCCCCCCCCCCCCCCCCCGAAAAAAAGGAAAATGAAAAGCAAAAAAACAACAACAAAACTCATAAACATTCAAAGCCAAATGAACAAACCAACATAGAGACAAACAAACAGACAAACGTACATACAGACATTAAGAAAAACAAAGAAACAAACTAACAAAAACATGTTTTTAAAAAATCATCTTCCAACAAACAAATAAAAACAGATAAATAAACAAGTAACTAATAATTCAAAAAAACAAGTAAAATCAGATAGATAAACATGCTAACAAACAAAGTTATATGCATACAAACACATACACATCAAATGAAAATCGGATGAAACAAAACAACAATGAAACAATAGAACAGAAAGCTGTATTTGAGCTATCATAATATTGTGACAATGCATATATAACGTTCACAAAGATTGGATACAGCGTACAGCCTTCCTCTCCGAAGGCCCTCTGTTCCCTTCCTTTCTTTTGAGCATTTCGTCAAGAATTTTCCTGTACTTTGAGCTCATGCTGTAGTAGACAAAGATATTCACCGTCGAGTTTGTCCCCACAAGCAAACAAGAAATGGCCCAGTTGAGGAGATAAACATTTTGGTATCTGCCTCCCGTGCGGTACTCCGAACTGATCATCATGACAAACGTATTAGCAGCCGTCGGTGAGAAAAACACGATGAATAAACTTGAAATGAAGAGAATCATCTTGACAACTTTCTTGTCTCTGTTTGTTAAAAATTCCTGTCTTGTGGCGCTTGAAGCCGACTGCCGCCATTTTGATTTCAAGAGAAAATTGTGGACCAGAATCCCAGTACAGATGATAACGGCAAAAAACGAAGCCAGTTGGGAAAACGCGCTAAGCGTAAGAGCTACTCCCTCATAGAAAGGACCGTTTTCATTGTAAACCGATCCAATTATCGTTACATTTCTCTCCGGAAAATGTCTTGGACCCAGTCCCATTGCATAATACAGTGGCACTACGCAAAGAATTATGCCCAAGTAAATTCCCACAACTACGAAGACTGTTCTCCTCGGCGTCAGAATCATCTTCACCTTCAGGGGCACAGTAATGCAGAGACACCTCTCGAATGTAACAAAAGCTGTGATCCAACTGGAGATACGCGCAAAACACACAAGAGGCCATCCTGACGTGAGATAGATTATGTCTTGGTACACCATGGGCAGGTCGGCTTCGATAAACAGAGGGTTAAAACACACGCTCCCCCAAAACAGAGTGATGGCACATCCCATATCCGAAATGGTCAGCCCGAACAATGTGATGTTTACGGTATCTTTGAAGCCCTGCTTACAGAAAACTATGATGTTGATGACGTTGCAGATGAGGCCGCAAACGCTGACGATCCCGATAGCAAACACGTACAGAATCAGTGAGAGGACAGCGAGTGTGTAGTCGTCCAACAAACCTTTCTGTGTGCTCTCTGAGGATCTTGCCTGACTGTTGTTCCCGGGGCCCATTTCGGGTTCCGCTAGATTAGCGCTCTTCAAAGCTGTAGATTTGCACTGTTACGTGCGCCTGTTGCACGAAAACGAAAAACAATGCAATAGTCGTGAGATTTTACGAATAGAGGTTAAAAAAAAGCTCAAAGCAGGTATTTTTAAATAGGTAAAGACCTCCCTTCACCCTGCAGGTGGGAGGGAGGGAGGGGGGGTGGGAGGGAATAGTTTTACTATGGGGGAGCAAAGAATACACCAGTCGTGATACTGCGTGTCGTAAGAGGCGACCTAAACGTGCAAAGGTCTGGTCGCCCGAAAAGTGCCCGTTTGCGAGGGCCAGCTACCCAACCCAGTAAAAAACAGTAAGTTACAGAAACACGGACAAACACAGCTTTTTATGTTTTGATCTTGGGAGACGGAGGTGTTTCTGCATCAATGAAGGACATCAGACAAAGCCGAAATGACTATTCTGACCCGAAACCTTCTCTGTCTAACAAGTCTGTACAGAATGCGTCGTGGAATGTTCGCACCTTGTATAAAGCAGGAAAGAGTTCTCAAGTACAACAGATGAAAAGATACAGACTGCACTTACTAGGAGTCAGCGAAACACACTGATTACAGTCTGGACAGAAGCAGCTCAGCTCGGGGGAACAAGTATTGTATTTTGGGAGGGAAGACAAGTACCATGCGGAAGGAGTGGGAATCATTTTGAGTAAGTAAGCACAGAAGTCACTTAAAGGACTTAAACCACACGGGGAAAGGATCATAATGGCTTCAATCACTACAGGGAACAAGAGCATCAACATGAAAATAGTCCAAATCTACGCCCCAACAAATGATGCTTCGGATGAAGATAAGAATGCCTTTTACATCTAGCTCCAGTGGGTCATTGACAAATTACCAAGGAAGGATGTCAACATTATAATGGGAGATGCCAATGCCAAGATTGGTCTGCACAACATGGGGTATGAAAGAATTATGGGACAACATGGGCTAGGATAAATGAATGGGAACGGTGAGCGATTCGCAAATATATGTGCTTTAAACAGTTTTGTCATTGGAAGCTCTTTTTGTCCCCATGAGAGGATTCACAAGGCCACATGGGTTTCGCCAGATGAAGTGACGGAGAACCAGATAGATCATTTTTGTATCTCTCTTAGGTTCAGGCGTTCACTCGAAGATGTCAAAGTACAGAGAGGGGCAGATGTTGGATTGGCTCATCATCTGCTGTTGGCAAAACTCAAGCTTCGACTCGAAAAGCACGGAACCAGCACAGGGATCAAAAGAACGAAGTTACAAGTAAGTCTCTTAGACGGACACAAGAAAGAAGAATTTCAGCTGCAGCTGAGGAACAAATTTCGACCTCTGGCTGATCTTGGCGGAGAGGACACAGAGGTGGATACACACTGGACTAAAGTCAAAGAAGTCTTTACATCAACATGCCAAGAAGTACTCGGTGTGAAACAATGGGAGCATAAGGAATGGATTAGCCATCACTCATTGGATTTAATTAGGATAAGAAGACAGCTGAAGGCAGAAGCGAATGCAAGTAGAACAAGAGGATCAAGAGCGGATGCATTGGAGCAGTACAGGACAACAGAAAAAGATTTTTAAAAATCACTAAGAAAAGACAAGGAGGAATTCATGAACAGACTAGTAGAGAAGGCAGAGGAAGCAGCGGTAGGAGGGCAGATGCGAATCCTTTACCAGGCCACAAAGAAAAGGACACTTGCTGGAAAATACGGGAAACCTGTAGTACCAGTAAAGGACCAAGAGGGGAAAACGTTTTTGGAAAGGAAGCTCAGTCTAAACGATGGGTGGAGCATTTCAACAGTCTCCTCAACAGACCATCACCGAGTAACCCACCAAACATCCTGCCAGCAAGAAAGGGGTGACCGATCTGCTGTGATGCTCCTTCGAAATAAGAGATTCTGGATGCCAGTAAAAAGCTGAACAGAGGTAAAGTGGCCGGTCCTGACCAGATTCCACCTGAAGCCCTAAAAGCAGATGCCAATGTGACGGCAGACTTCCTCCTCCCACTGTTTACCAAGACCTGGAGTGAGATCAAGTTCCCAAAGGATTGGAAGAAATGACACCTCGTGAAGCTTCCAAAAAGGGGCATCTCAGCAACTGCAGCAACTACAGAGGGATCACTCTTCTCTCAATACCAGGTAAGGTCTTCAACAAAATCATTGTGGAGAGAAACAAAACAGCAGCGGGTCCAAGACAACCGGTTGAACAGGCTGGTTTCCAGAAAAATCGTCAACCACCGAACAGAATGTAACGCTGAGGATTATTGTGGAACAGTCCCTGGAGTGGAACTCCCAGCTGATCGTCAACTTCCTTGACTGAGAGAAATCCGTTAACAGTATAGACCGAGAAACACTATCGAAGATAAAGAGAAACCACGAAATCCCACAGAAGTTGGTGAACCTCATCAAGAGCAGGTACGAAGGGACAAGTTGCAGGGTTGTACATGATGGCCAGCTCACTGACAGCTTTGACATCAAGACTGGTGTGAGACAGGGATGTTTACTATCAGCGTTCATCTTCATATTGGCAGTCGACTGACTTATGAAGGAAACCACCAGAGGACACAGAAATGGTAAACAGTGGACACCATGGACACAGTTGAACGATCTGGATTTTTGCCGACGACTTGGCGCTTTTGTTGCACTCACAGGAACAGATGCAAGCAAAGACTTCAGTATTAAACATCCTATCGGAGTCTGTTGGATTGAGGATCCACCCCGGAAAGTCAAAGGTCCTAGGGACAGATGCACAACGAAAGCAGCAGGTCACAATAGAAGGAAAGGCACTAGAAAACATTGAATCCTTTTGCTATCTTGGAAGTATAATTGACAGAGAGGGAGGAACAGGTGCTGAAATAAAATCTCGTATTGGAAAAGCACAGGCAGCTTTCAAATCTTTGGATAGGGTTTGGAAGCTCAGAGATAGCTCACTTCGAACAAAGCTGAGGATTTTCAATTCAAATGTGAAGTCGGTTCTGTTGTATGGATGTGACACAGGGAACGCATCACAGACTTGCATAAGGAGGATTCAGGCTTTCTTAAACAGGTGTCAAAGAAAGCTACTGAGGATCAAATGGACAGACAGGGTCACCATTAATACTTGGAAAGAAAGACAGATCCCAGTTTGAGATGAGGTAGGAAGAAAGCGGTGGCGATGGATTGGACATACTCTCAGGATGTCAGGCAGCTGCATAACAAAGAAGGTTTTGGATTGGAACCCACAGGATAAGAGATCAAAGGAAAGACCGCGTGGAACCTGGAGAAGAATCAAAGAAATCGATGTACAGAACAGTGGGAACACATGAAATAACACCAAGAGGCTAGCCCAGGATAGAGAAAGGTGGAAGATGTTTGTCCATGGCCTATACCCTGGTGCAGAGTGAGAAAGGCAATGCTGATCAAAGACCTCCCAAAAAACTCCAACCCTTCGTCCCCATCGGGGGAGGTGGAAACAGGACAAAGTAGGGGACAGCTGGGTCTGGGTGAAGTACGGTGTGACTTTATGTCACTGAGGCGTTACGCTGGCCGTGAAGGCCGACTCAGGTCACCTAGTAATGTTGTTGGCTAAAGGGGCTCTGGCGAAACCGTGACTGGCCTAGAAAGCCGATGGCGGATAAATCTTGCTACAAGACAAACACAGGAGAACACACGGACTAATTAAAACGGAAAACAACAAGGAAAAGTAAATGGACAGCGAGCTAGAAAAACGATTAAAATAGGCAGTCCCTCGCCTTTCTCTCTTTCTCTCTCTCTCTCTCTCTCTCTCTCTCTCTCTCTCTCTCTCTCTCTCTCTCTCTCTCTCTCTCTCTCTCTCTCTCTCTCTCTCTCTCTCTATTAGTCTTTCAATTTCAATTAATGCTTGCAAGTACGTTTGTTTTTTGTTTTGTTTTATTATTAACTTGGTGCGAAAAACATTCATTCTTTAGCATCCGAAGTTTGTGATTGTACAAAAAAGCCAGATTTTTTTTTTTAAAATGTAAGTGAAAGCACAAAAGAGAAGCTTTACATTATTCCACAGCTTTCATTCCTAAATGAATTACATTCATGGAAATTTTAACCAATGATGAAAAAGAAACAACTGCTACTTGTATATTTGTAATCCCTTTGAGTTTTTAAAACTCTTGCGTAATACCCATTCTCCGACCCCCCGCCCCCGAAAAAAAAAACAAGTGTCGTTTTCATATGTGAGGCAGCGTGGTGGAATCAGGCTCTCGTCAAAATAATCAAAATGAAGAAACTTGCATTTTTCCGCAGGTTTGTGAATTTGTATCAGTTTTTTTTTTTTGGAGCTCAACACCTTGTATGACCATTAAAGAACTCATTTCTGTGTTGATTTTTCTGAAAAACGTTGATTAAAGGCACAAAAGATGTACATTTTCAGTTACTACGGACTCTTAAGCTAAGGAAATAACTAATCTTTTGTGGCCATTTTTTCACTAATTTTACCTCTGAAAACAGGTGACCCCCACCTCCTTCATTCTCAAATATCTCGACTTGTATTTAAGATAAACGGATATTTTTTTCATTCAAATAAAGACAAGTGAACAAGATTTAGGATGATACCAATAACTCTACATGCCCAAAAATTGACGAGAGCCTGATTCCGCCACGCTGCCTCACATATAATCACGGTCTTTCTTTTTTTAAAGCGTGTTTTACGTCCCTTTCTTATTTTGGGTTAAAGCACTGATTTGCACAAGGTTAACATTACAAGACGAACTTAACAACAAGCTTGAGTCTTTGACTTGAAAGAAAGGTTAAAATTATTCTTGGCGTACATCAAACCTTCTTCTTTAACTTAATAAAATAATACAGGAAGCTTGATATAGCACTGCTTTTTAACAACTGAGACCAAGTAGTATCATAAATACATTATGTATATTATACTGAATCCGTTTTAAAAAAAAGATGAAAAACAAAAAGAAAAGGAAATCCGCAAGAAATGCGGTGAATGGGGTCTAACCCCAAGCATTGTTAGATCTAACATTTTGCTACATTACGCTACTTCTTTGTGATTTATTAGAACTGGTACCTCGAACTGGTGGCAAGGGGGCTAATCGAGGCCTGTTGTGACGATGGTTTACGACCCTTGCTTGACTCCATGTACTTATATCCGTAAATGTTAATACTTGAAACCGTTGTTCTTTTCGGGAATAAAACAGAGAAAAAATAATTGATGCGGCCCAGTTTTACCCAGCATCCACTCCCCCCAGCGGCCGGGGATAATTTTGAGTTTTCAAACCCCTGATTTACATGAATCAACATATCCCCTTCAGTTACAGGCATGAGTATACAACATTCCCTGTAGAACTTACATTTTCTGTCTCTTTCAAAACAGTCTAATGATTCTTCTACAGAGATAATAGTCCGCCAGGGGTCTTGTCATTCAGTGCAGACTTTTATAAGAGGGCATTAAACCTATTTCATAACTATGTTGTTTGCTGGAAAAATCGTAACACAACGTTGTTTTCAAACTAAGTCAAATTGTCAATGATTGTCTTATTCGCTCGTGTTAAACTGATATAGGAAGTCAATATTTGTATACTTTTTCCTCCTCCCTGTCATTCCGTATTATACAAGATTATCGGTTCAACAGAAGAAATATGTTTCCTCGCCTGCTTTCATTATGTTATATATAAGTAGAGTATTGTTGTACTTAACGATCTAACTTAGAAAGTAATCCATTTCCATTAGGAGGTAATTTTTGACATTTTTCATGTTGTTCAAAGACACGATATCCCGGGTTAACTAGGAGCAAACTATCTTTGAATGGCTACCCATCTTTATATTGACTGACTCAGGCTCTTAAAGGCTTTCCTGTGGTGTTGTTAGAACCACTTATGGGTTAAAATAGCTTCCAAAATTGGGAACAGGTATTTTTTAGTATCGATTCAGTTGCTGTAGTGTTCTCATATTATCTTTACATCGTTAAACCAAAAGTTGCGACAAGGGAGTGTCTTAGCTGGATTTGGGGAGGGGAGAAGAGGGAGAGGGGCAAGGAGGGGGAGGGGAGGGAGGGAGAGGGGAAGGAGGGAAGGAACAAAGGCATCCATTGCTCCCCATTATAGAGTAATAGTGATAATAATACTTCGTCCGTAGTGAACTGATGGAGACCTTTATCATACTAGAAGAAAGAAAAGGTAAAGACTTGAAAGAGAGGAAAGTAAAGGAAACACTGGCAAGCAAAAGTGTATTAAAGTGATAACTGTATAAAGAAGCTAAAACGAGTTTGAACACCCTTTTTACGCTTTATCGATCTTCGTATAATAATTCCAAGCTGTTTGATAGTTTAAATCTTTTAACAACTCGACCGTACGTTTCACCTCTGAAAAAATACAGTACAATATTATCTTCACAAACATTCTCAGGTCACACCGAGGTAGATTCTAACTACCAAGAACCATTGAAAAAGATTTTTACAAATAACTTTCTTACCATCTGAGGTGAGGCTGATGACAAAGTGGATTTAATGTGTGCTACTGTGGATTTTAATCTAGCACATAAAGTACTATTCAAATCTATCTATAGAACCTTTCAAATCCTGTCACGAAATCCTAAACATTGTGTTTTTGTCAGCTGTGTTTTTCTATTCATATTGAACTACATCTATGAAAATAATGTGCTGTGCAATTTAAATACTATGAATATCTGTATTGTGTCTTTGCCATTCCTGTACATCATCATCCTCATCCAGTGCCAGATCTGCGACAGACATCGGCGATCATGATTTTCCATTCATTCCTTTGCTCGGATGCTCTCAGAAAAGCTACGTTTCCCTGATTTTTCCCTGTTACCCGTTTGTTTAGATTCCCTAAGTATGTTGTTCTGGGCCTTCCCCTGCCTCGCTTGCCTTCAATTTTGCCAGTGAGAGCTAGATGTTCAAGACCCTTATGTCTATTCAGGTGTCCCAAAAACTGCATTTGTCGTTTCCTGATTGTTTTTAACATTGAGCGTCCCACGTGGGCTTCATCAAGCGCTACCTCATTTGATTTCTTTTCCTTCCACGATACTCTTAGCAGTCTCCTAAGAAACCACATTCCTGTACAGATATATAAAATCGCCGACAGGGACAGTGAGGTATTATTTTATATCTGATCTTATCGTGTCTTGTCTAATTGCATCTTGTCTTGCTTGCCTGGTCTTGTCTTATCTTATCTTATCTTATCTTGTCTTAACTTATCAGTGTATTCGCATTCACTTTTGCCCGATTATAATGTTCAAGAGTCTTTGGAGAGTAAACATCATCTGTCGTCTTACCAGTTTGTGTTCTGTCGTTGTTGATTTTTTCTTCTTTTTCTGCTTTGTCTGCTTACTCTCTCTACTTGTCTTTTTTTTCATTCTTTTTTCTTTCTTTCTGTCTTTCTTTCTTTCTTTTTTCTTTCTTTCTTTCTCTCTTTCTTTTTTCTTTTTATTTCCTTTCAATTTTCCTTTCTCTTTTTCTTTTTCCTTCCTCCAATTTCTGGGGTTTTTTTTTCTCTTTCTTCCTTTCTTCCTTTTTCTTTTGTTATATATTTATTTCTATCTATTTCTTTCTATCTTTTACTGTTTCTTTCTTTCTTCTTTTTTCTTCTGCTTGTTTACTTGTTCAAGTACTCATTTACTAGTTTGTAGTTTTAAAAGTGTATTTACATAATATTCCTTCATTTTCCTAGTTGCCTACTTTATGTCAAACCTTTATATCATAATAATATGCAATTCATATATCCGATTTTTACCAGGGGCAGCTTTAAGAATGGTATGTTTTGCTCCTTTTCTGTGTTTCAAATCATGGGAGGTGCCCCCGTGTGTCCGTATGTGTATATAATTTGTGTGTGTGTGTGTGTGTGTGTGTGTGTGTGTGTGTGTGTGTGTGTGTGTATGTGTGATTTTGTGTGTGTGTGTGTGTATTGTTGGTTTTGGTAAGTGTTTTACGACGCTCGCCACTGCATAAAGTCATATGAGCGCGCGGGACACATTAAACGTTTACAATTGATTGGAAATTTTGAATTTTGCTCGGGTGGCGGCCTAAGCCTACTCTTATCGAATCTAGACTACCAAGAGATCTTTAAGGTGAACAACTTGCACACGGGCCCTCCGAGATTTTTTGGCCTTGTCCGAAAAGGCTAGGTGCAAATCTTTTGTCTTGGTAAGTGTTTTTACGGCGCTCGCAACTGCATTAGGTCATATACGCGCGCGGGACACACCTATTATTTTCAGTTGGTAGGAAATTTTGAATTTTGCCCGGGTGGCGGCCGAAGCCTACTCTTATCGATTTTAGACCACCATGGGATCTTTAACGTGCACAACGAGACTTTTCGCCCTTGTCCGAGAAGGCTAGGTGTAGATCTTTCATACCAGAAGATCAGGAATGTGGCTGAAAGACAGCATTAAGAAGGAGCCAAGGAGAAGCAGTAAAACGGCTGCAGACAGAGTCAGGAGCCCAAAGGAGGGGGCAAAGGAGGTTGGGTGTGTAGGCAGAAAGAGGAGACGAAAGCAAACGACAGAATATTGCTGGAGAGCAGGAACAAGGTGAAAGGAGACAATTTTAGAGAAGAAATCGTTTCGGTCGCTACCCGGATTCGAACCCAGAATCTTTGAATGAGCAGCCTACACCTTAACCTCTAGGCCACGAGAGCCCCTTGTGTGTGCGCGTGTATGTATGTGTATGTGTATGTGTGTACGTGCGTAAAGCACGAAACCAATGGGCCAAGATCTTGACAATAAAGATGTATCTTATTTTCCTGCGTCCTGACATTGTTGCCCTTTGTAAGTTCACCACGTTTGCTGAGGATACAGATTTGAGCTTAAAATGTTATGTGCGAGGGTGTCTGGGTAAGCTTTGTGGGATTGTCTTTACTCAAGGGTGTACTGGAGAGAGAGAGAGAGAGAGAGAGAGAGAGAGAGAGAGAGAGAGAGAGAGAGAGAGAGAGAGAGAGAGAGGGAGAGAGAGAAATAGGATTACTATAGGAGATGTGCGCTGCACATGTTCTTTGTATTATTGTACAGCGCATTGAGCACTTTTTTTTGTGGAAATGAGCTATATAAATGCAATTTATTATTATTATTATTATTAT